CTCCGAGACTCAGGCTCCCTCCCTCCCATCCCATGGTCCTCTCCCACCCTCCCGTTGGTGATTTGAGGGCCGTCTGGGATCCGGCCCTTGAGGGGGGGGCTATGGGGTGGGTTATGGGGGGGGCTGAGCTGCCACCGACTGCGGAGGTGTTCCGTGTCCCCGAGCTGGAGCCGACTACGGAGGTGTTCCCTGTCCCCGAGCTGGAGCCGACGGCGACAACCGCGGAGGTGTTCCGTGTCCCCGAGCCGCCGACGGCGACAACCGCGGAGGTGTTCCGTGTCCCCGAGCTGCCGCCGCCGACAACCGCGGAGGTGTTCCGTGTCCCCGAGCTGCCGCCGCCGACAACCGCGGAGGTGTTCCGTGTCCCCGAGCTGCCGCCGCCGACAACCGCGGAGGTGTTCCGTGTCCCCGAGCTGCCGCCGCCGACAACCGCAGAGGTGTTCCGTGTCCCCGAGCTGCCGCCGCCGACCCCGGAGGTTTCCCGTGTCCCCGAGCCTGCCATTCTAGAGACGTTCCGTGCCCTGCAGTCGCCGCTCCGGAGCCGGCTTGGTGACCGCCCGCCGGGCCGACCCCCAGAGGCTCCCCGCTCGTCTGGCCACCCGCCGGGCCGCCCGCCAGAGTTTCCCGGGTGGTCCGACCAACGTCTCTGGTTTCCCTGCCCCCCCACCCTTTGTTTTGCTCTAGTGTGAGCCGCCTGGAAGTCGGTCCTTGAGGGGGGGGTACTGTCACGGTGTGGTTCACTTCCTGTTTTATTTTGTAGTTTTCTGCCACTCGTGTCCCCGGGTAACTTCACTTCCTGCCTTGTCTCGTCATCCCCTGTGTTCGTCTAATAGTTTCCACCTGTGTTCCAATCACCTGCACCTCCCTTGTGTATTTAAGCCATGTATCTCCTGTGTCACTTGTCGCGTCATTGTCTTTCGCCACGCATGTCCTTGTCTTTTGTCACACATGTTGCCTGCTGCGTTTCCTCCCGGTTCCTGTGTTTTTGAACATTGACTATTAAAGTCCTTTGTGTTTCCTGAACACTCTGCGTTTGAGTCCTGCCTTCCACCCGCAACCCTGACAGGGAACATATGTAACAGGGCTTTAACCTTTATTTAGTCAGGAAAGTACTGCTCACAAACAAACTCTCATTTTCAGGAACACACTTTAAAAACCTTGGAGCTGCTTAGTAGAATTTGCTTTGCTGCAGAGGAGCATTTGGGGCATCAGGTCTGGTTTGAGAAGGTGTTGCTCTTTAGGTTTCTCCACCCAAATGACATCTAAACCGTTTGGTGGTTGAACTTGGACCTTTGAATCATAAGCCCACTCCTCTAACCTTTAGGCCACAACTAATAAAAATCTGGTAGGAACGATCAATCAAATCTTCGATTGTGCGATATACTATAGAGCAGAGGTCTTCAACAGGGGGTCCGCGACCCCCAAGGGGTCCACGAGGGTACTGCAGGGGGGGTCGCGAAATTTTTGGTTGATAAGACAATTTTTTTCCCCACAAATGTAAATGTCTTCAGAATCAGAATCAGAATTTTATTCATGGTCTTTAAATACACATTAACATGAATCCAACATATTGAAGCGAACAGATAAATTGATGGAGAAAACGTCATCTGTCAGTGCGCAACACAAACATTCAGCTTCCCTCGGCAGCTCTCAAGCTGGGCACCGGTTCACTCACAGCTCCTTTCATGCGAATACGACCGCGCAGGCACCAGCCAATCAGATCGCGTTCATGCTCTCGTCTAAAGAGCGTGAAGCTCAAAAATAAAAGATGGCGGACCAAACTCCGTAGAATAGGGGGTCCCTGCTCCACCTCGCCATCAGTTTGTGGGACCTTGGCTTGAAAAACGTTGAAGACCTCTGCCATAGATTGTGATACACTACATTTTCTAGGAATTAATTCATTACTCATTTGTGAAAATGAACAATTGCGTTGCACTTGAGTGAAGCAGCAACATGCGACGCCATCACAGAGCTGAGCTTAACATGAGCCCTCATTCAGGCTTTAAAGCTTTAAGACGTACGGTCATTTATAGAACCTGGTTTGGGTTTCAAGTCGGAACAGAGATAGCTCTGGAAACACAAGTGCCACATGAACTGGCAGCAGAAAGGCCACGCTCATGGGTCTGAGCCAAGCTCAGATAGAGAGAGCATGAGATAAACAGAGAAAGAGTGTGGGAGGAGTCCTTTAAGCCAAGTGTTTCCACGGTTACAATTCAATGCACTCCGCTGAATTAAGTGAAAATATTAATTCCAAGCAATTTATTGCCACATTACTCCATCGCATGATTGTGTATCCATTTACCCTCACAGTAGGCCTCAAGTAGTTCTTAATCAAATTATACAGGCAGTCAGAATAAGCTTCCAGCAATTAACTCTTCCACCTGAATATGCATTACACATTAAGCAGCCCTCTTGTTGTGGAGTCAAGAGGATCACAGGGCAACTTGTACCTCAGACAGAGTCCTTGTTACGAGAACAACTTTAGACTCCAAACAAGACTTGTGGTGGCAAACAAGCCGAGACACTAATGGCAGGGACCTGCTTCTCTGAAACGTGGCAGAGGAGCTAAAGATCAGAAAACACGTGAAGCAAAAGCAAGGGGGAGATTCTCTGTTAAAGCAGATCCAAAATTAGTCGGAGCATTTGTGTGACCTTTACTGAGCTATTTATCCCAATGGACACCACACGGACACAACTCAAGACGACAACACGTCAGTACACTTGTGAAGATGGCTACATGAGTTGTTGCCATGTTGATTAAAGCTCAACGTGTTTTGGTTGTGTGAGTAACACCCTTACCTTCAGAAAAATAGTCTTCAAGCCATGGGGATCGGCTCTTTTTGTTGCTTGCACCTGCAGCCCACAATTTTTTCATAAAGAAAATGCAATCAGATCATCACACTGGTGGCTACAATTAATGATACTGTGCCAGTGTTCCACCTGTTAGTTAAACTGAAATTCATGCTCTCAATGTTTAGCTTTGACTTTCTTAGCAATCAATCATAGACGAACAGCCTCGCGTATGAAAATCCCCCGAGAATAACCCCCCCAAGACTAATTGTTTTCACATATAAATGCAACAGAGCAAATACATTACAGTTGTCTCTGCGAGGCCGGCAGAGATGCGCACATGCGCTGCGGCAATACGAGGGCGGTGGAGCCCGCTGCATTAGAGAACATAGCGTTAAACGCGCTGCACGCCTCTGCGCGTCAAACGTAACATCACATAGGAAATATTGACGGAGTCACCTTGACCGCCATGCCGCAGAGAACTATGCCGCAGCGGCGCTGTGCAGGAGGACGCAGCGGGCGGGACAGGACCACCGAGGGCTGGAAGAGAGAGAGAGAGAGACACACAGAGAGAGAGAGAGACACAGAGAGAGAGAGATCTGTGTTACAGCGTTTCCGGTCTGCTCGGGCCACACGAGGACACGGTGCGCTGTACGTGCAGACAACGGAGAGAACAGCACAGTGATTCGTTAAATGTGTGAGGAATCACGTGGCTATATATTATATATATATTTGTATACATATACTCCATAAAATGGTCTGCTAAAAGAATTGGCCATTCGGCCACAATATCCCCAACACACGTCGTCATCCCTTAAAGTGGTACTTTTAATTGTGTATTGATTAAATCATGATGTTGTCCGTCATGTTGAGTCCAGCCAGCAGTGTTTGTAATTAAAACATATGTATAATAGCAGTTAAAGTTATTATCTGTCAGAGTTTGATTAATTCAAACCTTGTTTGCTTGTGTAACTCTAAGGTCCCCTATTAGTGGTGATAATTGAAATTGCCAGCATGCCATCCAGCGTTACAGTTTTTTATTTGATCTCATTGATAATCAGTCTCACAATTCATTCGCCATCAAAGAAGTTGCCACTGACTTCTGGGGTGTTGCCAAATTAATCAGGGCTGAAATCTTAAGGATTATAACTGTTAAACTTAATTCAAGTAACAACCAAGTAACAATCAAGTTGAGCTAACTATTTATGATTTAGATATTTACATTATCACAATGTGAAATAATAAATATATATAAATATACTATTACAAATGTTGGCTTTTACATTTCACGCTACAGCACTGGATAGGTATAGTTATTGTGTTTTGTCTTTGGTTTTATGAGACACTCCTTCCTAAGTTGGAATCCTAACAATACAATCAATCAACAGCAGCACCGATATGACAAATGGCCAAAGAGATCTACCAGCTACCAGCTGCTGCTTACATGCACAACACATCTATGGCACAATGGGAGCCAATTCAGACAAACACTCTTGAGTTTTGAAAATATCTACTAGAGGGGTGACTGCGCCAAAGCTGTTCAACATTACATCGTTATACTCAAACTCTATTGTGGGATTTTATCATTCCTCGCATTAGCAGAGAAAAAAAATAGAATTTCTATTTTTCACAGACATGTTGCAGTATACCACTTAAATAAACTCTTTGTTACTAAAAAGGAGTTTGTCTATTCTCATTAACTTGTCTAATTGAGCTGAGTTATATTGTATCCAAAATATATTTTTTTCTACATTTGTATGACAAAACAAAAATATATTTATATTTCTGTTATAAAACATGATAAATAACTCCTCCGACTCACCAAAAATAGATTTTCTCTATTTCTCAGTCCAGTGTTTTCCTTTTTTAATTGGTCACTGATTAGCTGGAAATACATCACTTGGAGAGGAAATGTGAAGGACATTTGTCTCTTCTTTTCTGGTATCATCTAAACAGATAGCTAGCTTAGCTTGTTGATTAAGCTAATGTTACGATAAAAACAATCGCTTACGAAATAATCTCTATTATGTATACTGCGTATTCAGGGTTTTTTTCTTTTCTTTTTTAAACATTTGCAATAAAAGTCAAATGTCACATATTGTTAATAAGAAACAGCAGAATACATTGCTTCAAACTAACATGCCAGATATCTTAGTTCAAAATCACCCTTCCACCATCCACCACGGAGTTAAAATGTGGGAACGCCGCATGTTTTAGAGTTGACAAAAAAACAAAACTACATCCTGTTTCCACGGAAACACGCGGACCCGGAAGTTGTCCTCGTTCCGCGGGTCTTTCGGGACAAAACAACACAGCACGTCAGTGTGCAGAAATGGCGGGTGAGTTTCCAAACGCGTACGTGCTGTAAAGCCGCTTTTATTCCCTCTAATTCACTGAAATGTGGACGGCTGGCCTTAAAGCAGCACCCTGCCGGTTGTCTGCGGAGAACGTTGCTAAGTTAACGTTAGCTTAGCCAGCGTCCCATTGCAAAGCGGCGGCGGCGGCCTGGCATGCTAGTAGCATGCTAGCAGGCTGTCATAGCACACCGTGTGTTTATGTAACGGATGGGTCTGCGGTTGAACGTGTATTGATGGATTCAGTCATCTTTAAGGTGGCCTCGCTGCATTTCCCCCTAATATATTGTGACGTACACCACATATGCTCACGTTTACCGTAAGGGATAGTTGGTCACGTTAGGGAAATCTTTCTAAAGCAGCTATAATCGCCAAAACACGGTCTATTTCACGCCATTCGTGCCCCCGGCACGTTGCTCCATAGAGAACACAGGTGCAGCTGATGTAGCTGATTGCAAGTTGGCATTAAGGGGGTTGCTTGTTCTCTCTTACACGTTGCTGATGACATAACTAGCGCTTTCTGGTGTTCTGCATCAGGCGTTAGAGGTGGAAAATATTAGTGTTAAAAGCCGTTTGAATGAACTATCCACTTGGTTTGTGTCATGTGTGTTTTCAGCGGTAAATACCATGGAGAAGAAACTGGCTGAATACAAGTGTGACACCAATGAAGCTTTATGCTTAAAACTGGGTATGTTGGTTTTTCTCTTAATTTCTGTTTTTGTAAGGGAATCCTAATATGTGTGCAGTGATATTGTTTTGTAAAATCGGTTGACATTGATTCCACAAGGTCTTCCCCTCAGTTCGCTTTCCGGAGGATGTCGAGGATGATAGCACCACATTCCACCCGGAGTACAGCCACCAGATCTACGGGGATGAGTGAGTACTTTGTCCTCATCCTGACTCGGCCTTACTTATTATGAAACGGTTTTCCATTCATCTGCTGCCCGTTTTACAGCTGATCATCTCGTATTTTCACTTTTTTTTTTTTCTTGTTTGTTACCCTGTTTCCACACGTATGCCTCAGGTTTTACATTATCACTCGGCAGCACCGAGTGTAACTTTACAAACACACACAGTCAACAACTGTTTTGTAGACGATGGAGGGAAGTTTCTTCTCAGGTATGCAAAGACAAAAAGGTTTGCATGAACACCGGTTTGTCTTGCTTGTGGTATTGATCTCGCAGAAATGCTGTTAAGAGTCATATTTGAACGTGATTGCTTCTCACTACATTATTGGCAGTGACACCTGTGTCAGCTGTCGTTACGCTCTAAATTGCGTTTCCAAATTATTCAATACTAGGATTGTTTTTTGTTTTTTTTGCACTTGCTGCAATCAACTCAAAGGGAATTCAGTAATTGGAGCATTAATTATTTCAGCAAGCGTAATTGCTAGTAAAGCTCAATCACAGTTGCAAATGGCAAAATAGATTTCAGCATTTAACGGCCAGTGATGTAGTGGTGAGAGAAACAATGCATAAGTGGCCAGACCAACAATAAGCATTTACCATTCACTAATAAAAGTCATTTAATAGGAATAATCAGATTGCTGTTACCCTAGACTGCACACTATATAAAAACGCTGCAATTTTATTTATTTTTCTGAATAAAAGACACTGTCCTAGTTGTTGTAAAACCTTGAGATTTTTAATCATTCCAATCACTTTGTCCACAGTGAGGTCGCTTTTGGATACAAAGGTCTTCAGATACAGCTGTTCTACACCGCTGGAAACCTGAGCACCCTCTTCAAAGTGAAATATTCCTCAAAAGTCACTGAGGTGTTTGATTGTGTGGAGGTAGGACCTGTATTTGATTGTTTCTTTTTATTAAATTTAAAGGTCTTGGAACCTTTAAATGTGATTGTTGTGGAGGGATCGCTGCTTACCAAACTCATGTCAGCCATGCTGTTTAGTTATTGCAATAATTATTGGTAACCAGGTAAGCGATGGGGGAAAAAAAGTCAACTGTCCTCCAGTTTAATGTGAGCTTTTAGTCATTAGATGGTTTAATGAAAGGCTCTTATCTGATGTTGCAGATATGACACACCATTGTAAATAAATCTGAACAATCAAGAGAAGGTTGCAGGAAAAACACCAGATATTAATAATTAAAGAACTTGTGAGGGGAGAGAGCTGCGATCGACTCAAGCATGATGCAGTGATAGCAAAAGGCATTGTACACCAAACTGGGTGTGTCGACTCGAGATTTAAAACAGCTTACACAGGTGAATGTGTGTGTGCGTAAGATAACGTATGAGTGTATGCAAATGTGTTTTGGACTTTCCTCCCATACATGAAGTTGTTTTCCAGTTTGGTGGAGAAAATACAGCTGAGTCTGCCGTTTGCTGTTTTAGCGCAATTAAAACAGGATAATGAAACCGTATATTGCGTAATGATAATAGCACAATAAGCAGTATTCCCTAACTTTTTTTTTTTTTTTTTTACAAAAACAAATTAAAGTACAGCAATATACGTTTTTAATCATCTGAAGTTTAGTAAGTCAAACTTTTTTGAGCAGGGCTGCTTTACTGAGTTGTCGCCTCCATAATTGCATGAGATGAGGACCGTGCGCTCCATTGTTGTCTGCTGCGAGATATCAGACCAATGGTGCTCTTTTGTGAGCAGTTCTTACCGCATCATTATGCTGCTTCTTGTACTGAAGCAAGTCTCTCTGGGTGGTAGCATTATTCCTGAAAGAGATCTCTTGGGTTGTTGGACTAAATCTCAGCCCACCATGGCGCGCTGTGCCAGAACACTAATCCCACTCCTCCCCGACGGAAGAGAGGGGTTTTTAGAAGGTTTTGTACGTGGGGTCTAATGTGAGGGATTGATTTTTATCTTTTTTTTACTTGAGGTTTGTGTGATTGAATCAGCAGGAGGAGTAATAATGTGACACGGTTGGAAATCTTGTACATATATATATTTCCTGGAGCAAATTGTTTGCTCGAGTCATCAGCAATCACAAACCGTTGAGGCTGAATAGCCGAGAAACATTTCTTTAACGCAAGACGACCCTTTCCATGTAACGATGAATACATGTGTTCACTTCATTCCTTTGCTAATGATTTGACCGTTAGTCAGACAGCTTAGTATGAAAACTTTCTGCCTTTTTTTTCTTTTTAATTGCCAGACATCTTAATTTACATATTATCAATAGCTGGTATTTGGACAAAAAAAAAAGGCCCGTAAAGCAAAATGCTTTAATGTACTGCAGGCTCCTCCTCTGAGACTTCACAAAAGGCAGCTTTGATTATTCCCCGAAGCTGTCAATGCAGCAAACATGCAAAACGACTACAAGAATCAGCCGGGGCCCCTTTTGGGGTCAGATGATTCAACTCCGGGACATCTGTCCTGTGTGGAAAGCAGCGGGGGCTCCCTCACCGGACAATGTGGCCTTCAACTGGTGGCAGCGGGAGCAACTTGTAAACTCGCCGGGGTCTGTTGTTTCTGTGGACGCACCCTAATTATACGCGACCCCTGTGTGACAGCGGTGTCTCCTTCCCGACAGACTTACTACGTTACTTTAGTCTCTGGTGGCGAAGAAGTGCAATAGAGCCACCTGACTGTTTTTTTTGGGGGGGGGCCGTAGTTTGGAGCTGATATTCCAAAGTGAAACACGCTGGCTGGCTTACAGTCTGTGTGTGTGTGTGCGTGTGCGTGCGCCACTACTTTGGTGTTCAGCGTTGACCCCTGAGTGTTCACCTTGTTAAGGGTTTGAGTGCAGCTGGTGTAGAGGTAGAGAGCGAGGGGAGCGCCAGAGTTCAGGCCGCATCTGAAGAGTGTTTGTCTCTGAGTGCATGTGGACGGTCGGGGTGCGACGCAGCTGGCGAGAGAAGAGAGCGAGGGGACGAGGGGAGGCAGGGATGGAGTTTATGCAGCTGCCACGTCGATACAAGGCTCTCATCATCGCATCACCTTGTCCCCTTTTTAAATCAGCCAAAAACACGCAGCGCTGGACCCCCTCACAGAAAACGCCGGTTTACAGTGCCAGAGCCTTTGTGCGCACGGGCCAGAAACGACCCGGCAGTCGTAGTCGCCGTGTCATTATTTCCCTTGCAGTCATAATCAACGCGGACGTGTGAATATTCTTTAACAACAACAAAAAAAATAAATAAATGAAGCCGGTACTTTACAAGTGATGTCAAACATTAAAAAAAAGAGTGCAGATTTTGGAAGCCGTACGGTCGGTGGAGTAGATTAGAGAGGAAATAACACCAACACAACAAATTAGGTAGTTTGTACTCTCTTTGTGTCTATTGTTAAAAATCAAAGACATTAACAAACTGTTCTAAAGGTACTTTGTTAAGTTATATTCATGCCAAACTAAGGCCTCTATTCTGGAAGGCTGTGCAATTTAGTGTCTAGTATGCCGGAGAGTGCTCGGGACAAGGGGACTTGTTTGTCCATGGCCCTTTAAGTATTGTCCTTGTTCCTTAGAAATGTGACTGAACAATTACAATGGTTAAGAGGCATTCAGCTGCAGGTGCATTACTTCCAGTTAGATATTAGCTGATGTCTGAAAAGGGGGGTGGCCGGGGGGGGAATTAGTACTATGTTGTATTAGCCTTTTGTAGTGCATTTTGCTCAGACCTTCTTCATTTCCCAGTTCTCAATGCTGAGCAGCGAGGGCCTCTGTGCTGAAATAATGCCCATCACACATGGAAATGGTGTGAAAGGGCTGCTCAGCAAAGTGTTCTCATGTCAATCCTTGTGGAAATGGATACAATGCAAACATTACAGCTGAACTAACCACAGGTTGCACTGAGTAAAAAGTCCGAGGGTCGGGCCCCTTTGTCTCCGAGGCTCTTTGAAAAAAAACGCGGGGGCAAATTCATTTGATTGGGTTCACTTGGCAGGATTAAAGGAGAGGCGTCTATTATGGATGCCCCAAAGGTTTGTTAAGTTGAGATCAATTCACAAGATTTTATTTCCCAGTGAGAAGCAGAAATGTGTTTATTGTGGCAACTTCATCACATATTCATGGTTCAACCTAAGTACTAAATGTACCTATTTAAGTGGCCTTTTCACCGGGTAGGAGCCCGCCGTGATCTCTGCTCAGCTGACAGTTTTAATTGCCTAATGGTTTCCTTTCATTGGCAACGGAACATGTATAATCCCAGTTATGTTCTATATGATGAACTCCACTTTTCCCCCTAATTTAAGCACAGCAAGTTATATGAACATATCGTCTGTGTAGAAAACAAAGTGTTTTTAAAATTGAATTTCATCAGAAAATACCTCACTGGTTGCAATTATGGAAATAAGTCTTCTGCCAGGATGATTTCCCTTTTTACATCCTGATTTGTTGCTTTGGTTGACTGATTTAAATTCTCTGCACAATGTGTTATTTAGCCAGACGACATCGAGGGAAAGATCCGGGAGATCGTTCCCGCCGGGTTCACCTGCAACGCCGACGACTTCAGCTCGCTGCTGGAAAAGGAGGCCAACTTCAAGCCCTTCGGCACGCTGCTCCACACGTACACCGTCCACAGCGAGGAGGCCGGAGAGCTCACGTACCAGATCCACAAGGTACAAACCCCCGACTGCCACACCGGGTGTCGGACCGGAACTTCTCTCGGGTTGCCGTTGCTTCTGAGTTTTGTAAACCGTACCGGGCGTTTGCTTTTCGCCGCCTTCGTCCGCAGGCCGAAGTCACTTGCCCCGGATTCCTGGAGTACCACGAGCGCCTGCAGACCTTCCTCATGTGGTTCATCGAGACGGCCAGTTTCATCGACGCCGACGACGATCGCTGGGACTTCTTTCTTGTGTGAGTGCCCTCCTTAATTGACATCATACCCCCCCCCCTCCCCCCCACACACACACTCCTCGGAACTACACACCCTCCTCCATGCCCACCCCAAAGCCTTTATTGTGTCATTGAAAAACAAAGCCCCCCTTTGTGGCGCTTGTGACCAATTACCAGGCCAGTTTGATTATATTTCCCTCTGTAGGAGAATTGTTGATCAGGCAAGAGCTCCCTTTGTGCCGAAGGCCCTTTTCAGATTTTTCAGGGCCAAGGGCTGAATTGAATACTGTTGTCTTTTGAAACACTGAACAATGTCTTAACAGTAAAAAGAGCCTCTGCCAGTGTTTTCTTTACCCTGGCAACTATTAATACGGACAATGGGCAAAATGGACTGAAGTGATTTTGAGGAGCTCAGTCCCTCCTCCAACCCCTTCTCTTCCTCTAAGTTGCAGTACTCCAATTAAGTGCATAATGTATTCAGGTTGTAGCAGGTGTACCAATCGGGGCCGGGCTGCTCTAACATGCTGATGTGGGGGGGGTTGATGGGACGGGGGTGGGAACTAGAGCAGAGAGGCTAAAATGGACACTGCATGGGAGTGTGCCTGTAATTGACCTGTTTGCCTTTTGTGTTTTTATCTGCAGATTTGAAAAGTACAATAAAGACGGGGAGACTCTCTACGCGACTGTTGGCTACATGACAGTTTATAATTACTACGTGTATCCAGACAAAACCCGACCACGTGTAAGGTAATTGCCGGGGCAGCACGTGCCTTCCCATTCTTTTGTATGAAAAAGGAGTGGAAAATTATACATTTCTTTATCCTCTTCCCAAAGAGCCCAAATTACGGGCTTATATAGCCAACCATTCAGCCAGATTTCATCTCATTACCAATCCAGTGTGATTTGTATCCGAAAACAACTTTATATAGATCAGCTTACCATGTGATGTTTTGCATTGATGGATCAAGATAATGAACTATTAAATCCCGCTCTGAATTAAATCATTTCTCTTTCCGCTCAGTCGCCTTCGTAAACTAGTTTTGTGACTTATTTTGAACAAACGTGTTTTCTCACTGGCTCCGTGTTTGCGTGTTTGTCTGCCCTTTAACTGAACAGCCAAATGTTGATCCTGCCTCCGTTCCAAGGAGAAGGTCATGGAGCTCAGCTTCTGGAGGCAGTGCACAGATTTTACTGCAGCCTTCCCAAAGTGCAAGACATCACAGGTGAGCGACATGATTTTCAGCATTTACTGCACCGAAGAGGCGTAAACAAGCATTTGCTCTGAGATGCTTGCGTCACCCACAAACATTTTGAAAGATTTGTCGCTGCACTTGGGTGGATCCATAGTGTTCCGAGGCTCTATCGAAACGAGTTGGATCAAAGTAGTCCTCCTTCATGGAGACAGGATGGATGCCAGCGATGCATCCGTTCGGACGGGAATCCTTTATAAAGAAGAACTTTGAGACACTCAATAGGCAGAATGTTCCCGTTAACAGGTTTTCTGCCTTATATTTTAAAAATCCTGCCCTGTACATGAATGTTTCTCTAACACAAACATTCATGTATGCTGACAACTATATAAACGAGCCCTGTGTGTCAATTTAATTTGCCAGTAATTGGGGAAACCACTGTTCACTCCCTTTTGAATTTTGGGACTGTGTTTCTCTTCAGCTGAAGACCCGTCCGACAGCTACGTGAAGCTGAGAGACTTTGTGCTGGTCAAGTTTTGTCAAGGCCTGCAGTCCTTCTCCGCGGACAAGCTACACCTCGGCTTCTCAGCCGACATGGCCAAGGAGGCACAAGACAAGTTGAAGATAAACAAGGTGACGTATACGGCCGCAACCCATTTGTTTCGGTGATCAATACATTTGTTTTCTCTCTTTATCCATCATGGTAAGTTGCTTGGAACCCCAAGCCGGTAAAACCAGTCATCATATTTAAGATTTTCACGGAGCTTTTACCTGTGACGCTAGCTGGAAGCTAGCGGTCTGTAGCTGATGACCGTCAAACTTGCATTTTTCAGTCAAATAAGCCCATGAAATAATCAAATTGCAGCCTTTTGAGACTAGAGAAGTCTTGTATCGCTAAAACTAATTCAGTTTGAACAAAAAGTCAGAATCCAGCGTGGCTTATCCCTTTACTCCACCGTTTCAACTCCAGACATGCCAAACTTCCAACACTGCCATGTTGCCATCTGCTCTGTTATTGTCACGGGTCGACGTGGTGCTTATTAATCTGTGACGTAAATTCAACTCTGCGTGGCTCTTCTTGGAACTAAAAGGTTGCATTCATTATAAACTCTGAAAAGCTTATGGCGTCCTGCAGCAAATATGCTAGAAAGTTTCATAATAAGACACTGTTATATTTTGCACATATGTTTTAATAACCGTCTCCTCATTTCTACAGAAACATGCCAGGCGAGTGTATGAAATCCTGCGCCTGAGGGCGACAGACATGAGCGATGAAGAACAGGCCCGAGCGTTCCGCTTGGAGGTGAAGAAGAGGCTGTTTGGGCCGTACAGGGTGAGGTTTCAGTCATCGCAGCCTCCCTTTGGTCCACATTGTGGAGAGTCTGAATGTGCCTACCAAAGGATTTTCCGATTAAGTGACTTGCTGAATTATTATACAATATAATTCTACAACTGTCAACTCTGCTGCTTTCAAGAATCCAGTGTGCTGCCGCTCACCTTTTCTCAGCATAACATTACAGCCATTCAACGTAGGAAGCAAAGGGCCCCGTGCGTTGCATACAATACGGAGCCTACAGCTCGTACCTGTTTATCATGTTACCATTTAGAACAGCAGAAAAAAAATTGATCTTCAGTCCCGTTCAAATTGACAGATTACTAGTGCTGTATTGTCGCTGCCACAATAGGGCGCAGCAGGCATCTGTGGTTCTGCTGCTGCCAGAGCTTTTCTCTATTCAGGCTCATGTCATTAGTTGGGATTTGCATTTCTTTGGGAGAATTTTTTTTTTTTAGCACAAATGTGTGTTTGAAGCACTTTGTCAAAAAGCTGTCTCTATTCAGAGTTCTGTAGCTTCACTTTGCAGAGCTTTTCAAACTTCATCAGAAATTGTGCAATTTCATAAAAATTGCCTTTTGCTGTTTTCTCATGTTCTCCTACGCAGGTTTTATTCGAGTTTCAGATATTTTAGAGTAACACGCTTAAGCTTAGTGACGAGAATATCCAAAGCTTCTCTGATTCTGATTCCACTGGACTGACAGTGGGAAACACTGCGTGGATCCGTGTGCACCAACATAAAACACCCTGCATCCTGTTTGCTTGTGACAATTTGTTTGAGCTGCTCGCTGAGACTTTGCATTCCAGCCGAATTTTCTGTCAGCAAAGTTACCACATGTCTTTTTTTTTTTTTTAAAAAGGGGGCAGGGTTTGATGTGGAAATGACCTATGTGGTGGAGCGGGAAGTAGGAATTCCTTGGGAGAATGGCACGGAAAGATCTGGTGGCCAGATGCAGAGTGTTTTTCCTTCCCTGGGGAGCATGTAGTTAGTCGAATGGCAGAAGCCGCTGCTCTGTGGATGTTAGGGGGATTATATTTGTCTGCTCGTATCCCTAATTCCCAAGTGACCACGTCTGCGGGCAGGATACTTTCTTTTTTTAAGCAGCACATTGCGCTCAACTTAGTGAATCTGTGCTTAGTGCACAATATCCGAAACAAAAATTAGCCATTGGATTTTGCTGTAAACACTTTCCTCTGTCTCAATAAGACTGCTGTATAAACTGAATAAGAACACCAGACAAAAACATGACGGTGAGACGACCGTTGTCAAAGAAAAAGGTGTTCATGTTTTTCAGTGTGTAATTCTAATTCAACTGTCCAAATAAGATTGAAAAAATCCACTCTTAGTGATTTATTCTAAGGATTAGCTAATAAATCCATTCAATATTCCTCATGAGAAAGTTGTTACCAACCGCTGGCTAATTACTGAATTACCAGGCGCTATAATTTCCCTTTGACGTAATTGACGGGACTGATTTAACCCCTCGCCTGTGTGTGTCCATGCCGTCGGCACTGTGCAGAAGAATCAGAGGGAGCTGACAAAGATGAGGAAGTGCCTGCGGCCGGAGGAGCTGGTGTCCCACATGGATCAGATGGACACTCAGACGCAGCACGAGGAGCTGGAGAAGAGCTATCAGGGGGTCGTGGAAGACTACAGGAGAATCATCGAGAGGATCGCCACACAGGCCTGATGATGGGGACTCTAAAGCGGCGCCGGATCGGAGAGCTCGCCCCTCTCGGGCAAACGGGTGATCCGCCCCACCTGTACAAAGCCCACGTCACCACAGAAGAAACTCGGATTCATTGTGGCGGAGTCGGCGGGCAGACTGCAGGGGGAGACGGCGCTTTCCCAGCCGACGTTGATACTGTAGAGGAGTGTGCAGCTGGAGGGTTGTGACTTTCTGTTGGTCTCATTAGTGTAATCACTTTGTGTGGGATTGACTGATGCATAATATTTCAGAGGTGGTTGGAGGTCCTCTGCCCTGCAGAGAAATCCTGCTTCTTCTCCATTGTAGACACTTTTTTTAAGGATCTTTTTTCTCAAAAACAATTCTAAAATGTGTGTTTTGAAGCACTTCATACTGAAAATAAAAGAACATTTTGTATATTGCTCAAATGGTGTGAGTTATTGCAGATTAAATGAAAAAAGTTGTATTTTTATTTTTTACACTTTTGTTTGAACATTTGACACAAAATAAATGTATTTTGTTTAATATTAACACACAAACGTTCCACAGAGGAAACCTGAGTCACCTAAAGGAGGCCTAGTGTGTCCAGACGGTTTCAGGTATTTCAGGTGCATAAATCTCTTGCCTGACTATTTACTGGCACGTTTCAGTATGTGTTTTATATAGTTAAGCGGATTTATGCGTGTAATTTCATGCAGGCAGCCTCTCATGGCTAATTCAACTTGTGATTGGTGCCGATGTGGAGTGTTACACTAATGAGTATTATCGTGTTCAATTGAAAACCTTTGTGCCGCTGTTAGCCCGCTTGTGCAGATCACCGTGATGAATACTCATCATACTTTATGATACTTTAGCACATTGTCACTAAATTAAAGCTGCCGGGTCAATTTTCAATTTTTTTTCTCCCTCTTCACGCGAAACAAGACAAAACCTTGGAACCCTTCACATCTCTAATTCCGATTGATTGAATCCACTCGTGGACACAAGGGGCCTCATCTCACTGTAGTTTTCTCGTTTTTTGTTTTTTTCCCGTTGCCGAGTGCACATTTCACATCGCGCTGCACAAGCTCAGCCGACTGACCTGCTAGTAGGGAATTACATATTTTGTTTAGTGGGCACATGTGCCGTGTCATTAATTCCACTCTGGGGCCGTTTCGCAGAGTCATCGTTGTGTTGCAGGATGTCGATGCGTCTCGGGTTTTCAGATGCAGAACAAACTGGTGTGGAAGTGGAATGCTTGGAGGACCTGCAGGCCTTGTCAGAAGGTTGGGAATCCCTTTTGGCTCTTTCAGACCGCACAGTTAGCACGGAAGCTAATTATTCACCTCGCACCTAAAACACCAAGTCTATTTTGAGCCATTGCTTCCCAATGCAGCTGTCTGCTGCAAAGTATAAAGGACATTTGTTTTATTTTTATTTAGTATTTATGAGGAGCTTTGAATTATGATAAATAAGTCCATTGGTTTTTACATGTTCTAACCACACTGCACAACATTTTTGGTAGATATGCTACCTTCCTTAAGAACAATCTGACCTTCCTAAAAGTGAATGTTTGCTACTTTTTTGTCACTACGTCACAGGTAACCGCATATCTTTGGTTTAAATGTTGGTCAGTCCTGTAGTAGTTTGATACTATGCACATGTCTAATCAGCAACGGTACTGTGTGGAGAAGTTCCTTCCAACTGAAGATCATGAAAATTTCATGAAACTGTTGCATCACCTGTCTTTTGCAAACCTCCCACTCCCCCACAAAAACAAATCTACAGTACATTCAGGGAGGAAAAGTCCAGTATTCAACATGTCCATTTCAGCTTATTCCCTCTCTGCAGTCAATCAGCCATCCGGGAGCAGTGGATTGAAATCTAAAGAAGTCGCTGCGCTTTCTTCTGCAGCCGAGGCGATTACAGAGCATCCAGCAGTGGGCCCTCAGTCGCTGTGCCTTTGTCAGGGGGACACAGTCCGTCCATTATGTTGTTAGAGGGGAGATGTGGGAGGTTGATTTATGTCTGAAACTGTCACGGGTTTCAACCTACTCACACTTTTATTATTTAAACCCATGAAAAAAAAGGGGGGGGGGGGGAGGCATCCATTAATTCTTCTATGTCGTCGCTGTTCATGTTTGGGCGACTTAAGTCTTGCAGATAATTCCATGTAGCTCACGTTCTAAGTAGCCAGAAAGGCTTAATGCCATTTCTTTGGTTGAAATGACAGCAACAGTATCAAGCTCGTCCTGAATCTTTGGTTTCACCTGCTGCCGTTGGTGCTTCTGCTTCCTTTGTGGCGCCTCCACCACTCTGCACTGAGACGGGCCCAGCTGTACTGAGGAGGGGGGACCTGTTGAATATGATACCTGTGTGGAGGAGCTCCAGCTTCTTAGCCCCCGGGTTCCCAGGAGAGAGTCGGGGCCAGGAAAGTTTGACTCCCCCCCTTCTCCTCCTCCTCCTCCTCCAACCATCACTGCTTTTCTTATGGTGTTCACATTTCTTTTGTGCTCCAAGTCTACAGAGGCCCCCTCCTCGCCGGCGGTAAACCTGGCCGGTCCCTTTTCTCCGATAAATGAGTCCCCTTTAAGATAATGTTTGATGCGCTGACAGCCGGGACCAAAACAGTGTAAAAGAAACCGAGTTTGACATCTTTTAATTGTGCGTTAGAAGGCAGAGATTGCGGTTTGGTGGACTGCTTTCAGATCAGGCTGCTGATACGGTAATTTGCCCAAGTGAAGGATGTGAGGAAAGTGGCGGTGTTGATAGTTTAGTTGCAGAAGTCTCTCGCCCTGTCTGCTGGTTTCTCCTTCCATAAATACCAATTCATCTGTGTATTTTAACACTGTTTGTTTAGGAGAATCACCTTTTAGCCTCAGCTAAATTAAATAAAGCAAATATTTTTTTTGATAGAATGGTTTTACCCAGTTGGCTTTTATATCTCCTGCACTAAACAAACACAAATGTTCATAATGATTTGGAATAAGTAGCAGATGTGAATGAAATGGATTACTCGTGGTAATTGATTTTCATCGGTGGACGGCCAGAGCTTGGGATTTTGATTGCATCTGCCGATAAAATAATTTGGGAGCATTGAGCCAGATTTCTATTTAGCCGACATCAAAATAGATCAGTGGGAGCACATAAAGGAGGAGGATTTTGTTACGGTGATTGACAGTCACCGAACAGCCGAGTGACAAGACTTGTTATTTTTGCTGCATGTTTGTAGCAATAATCCTTCAAGTTCCCCTTTTTCTTCCTGTTGTGCTATTTTTAATTGGCTTAAACAAATGCAAATGGCCTTACGGGGTTTGAGTCACCGTACTAAATAATCATTAATGACTGAACCTGCTGCGGCATTTGGTATTTGTTTACTCCATGTGCATTGATAAAATATGACATAATATGTAACAGGAAGGTTTTCATGAAATCCACATGAGGACTCGCTTTCAGTAGACTAAAATGAGCTGATGGTTATTATTGGTTGAAAGGGACGGGAAACATTCATGGCTGAATGTGCTGCACAGCAGGGAGGATTGTGAAGTTATTTCCGTAGAAAATCAACAGAAAGTATTTTGCTTTTTCGTTGAATGGCCGCTTTGACTAGCTTTTATTTCTCAACGCTGACTTTTCCTGTACTGCATGACCTGCCTTGCGTGTTCGTCTGGTAAATGAGCCATGCCGTGGAGTTGGGTGAACATGTGCTTTTCCTAAATGTAGTTTTCTAATTAAAATTGCGCCATTAGGCTGTAATTGGTGCTATCTGAGGTTGGGACGAAGCCACATGGGAGGGGGGGGCGTATAAAGTCAGAGCGAGATGGTATCGGGACCGAGCAGACAGGAAGCCTCTGTGTAATCTTGTCAGGTTGGAGATTGCGATCAAGCCGACTGAACTTCACTCGTCTGCCGCTGAACTGCAGCTTCGGAGCTTCAACGCTGCATAAAGGTTTTGATTTACACAATGAGTGTCGGAAGGGATATGTGGTTAGTTTATGTCAAAATGGTGCTATGAAACTAGAAGAAGTTTCTCTGCTGCATTTATGGGACGTCCAGTCAGACTGAGTGCAATTTTAAATGTTCTCAGTTTCTGCTGTTACAAGGGATTTAAATAGTTATTTAGCTGCAGGGTGAACAGACAGCGATCATACTGAACTTAATAGATATTGTAGTGGAAATTTGTGGATTTAGCCCAAAATGTGATTTTTCTTAATTCCACTGAGGACAAAATCTAATTCAGCAGTGAAGGCCACTCGGATCTTTTTCTGAGCCAACACCCAATGTTGCTGGGTGTGTGTATGTGAGTAGAATGAGAAAAGCTCAGTAAACTTTAACCGTACACAAGAATCACGAGATGGTGAGAAAACTGCTTTTAAATCACACACATGTCACTCACAATACGATAACAAACACTCCCGGGGTTCCGTACCGAAATGCTGCAAACGCTCTCACAGTGTTTCTTTCCAGCGAGCTTACTAAGTAAATAGGAATGCTTGCACACAGACACACGCTGACATTTGCCAGATGCTCGGCGCTAATTAGCGCCAAGCTTTCCCACTCGTATGGAGTGTGTGAGAAACCACAAGTGCACCGCTGGCCGACCTGTAGGACCTGACGGGGGGGGCGGAGCTCTGTGTTTGTGCTCTCGATGCTCAAACACAACAAACTGAGTTTTCGAACGAGGTGAAGCACCTGAGTTCCTTCTTAGATTCATGGTACAACATTTGACAGAAGATCTTGTTGATTTAAACAATTTACAACAATTTACAGTCTGTTCGACTCACTTCAGACACTTGTGTCCTTGCTGTTCGGTGTGGGTTAGCCACTGCAACACGCAGGTGCAGAGAAGCAAAATGCTTTCACCTGGGTGTTATTTTCAGCAGTTCACCACCGGCAATTTTTCCTTTTCAGGTATGACCTCCATCGTTTATCATCTGTAAGGCGCCTACGGGATTCCCAAGGAAAGTCATTCCAAAGTAATACGTTCTAAGGCCCGTCCCTCGCTGCAGCTCTGCAAACCCCCCCCCCTCCACTCATGATGGTGGTGGGGCAGAAAAGCAGGAAGGGAAAGAAGACCACCGCAGCCACCCACAGAACCACCGCTCCCCCCACCCACCTCCCCTCACCCCTCCTGACCCTGCCCCCCCCCTCCCCATGCTGCAGCGCGGCTCTGCGTCCTGGCTCCTGTCCAGAGTTCTGGTGCGGTGATGGGGAGGGTCACGCTTTGCGTCTGACCCCGGGCCTGCATGTTGGATGTTGTTATTATTAGTGCTCCGTGCCCCCACCACCCCCCTCGCCGGGGGCTGGCGGTCCCCAAAAGCAGGAGGAACTGTCGGGCTCTGGAGAGGCTCTCGACCTGGAGCACAGCTGCGCGGGTTGGAGGCTGCCGGGGGCCCCCAGAGTCCACTGAGAGCACCGCTGCACCGGCCCTCCAGGAGGTCCACTGTTT